TTTATAGAAGATTCTAGATTAGTCGTAGTTTTTATTTCATGATGTGTAAAATGTGTCAGCTGAGATTTGTGAGGCGGCGCCAACAAAGCTGCTCTTCATTCTGCTGTATCCAGTTTCAGAATCTCTGAGGAATCAAAAGCAGCCAAAGATTATCAAACAGTTTAGTCCTTGTCAATTGTTGTCCCATCACCACATTCAACTTCAAATAGCTTATCGTCAATCTCATGCAAACAGCATGAGTGGGACTTTTGCAGTGAGTAGATTAGGTTAATGATTGAGTGAACCCTCAGCACCGGGGACAGCAGAGAGATAGCAGCGAGGCTGGATTGATAGTCTTACAATACGTTCACAGTACTGGTTCATATAATAGATTACTTAACACCAATCAGGAATTGAAATGAAAACGTGTTCTGGGAAACGTAACTTTTCTCTTAACCCTGTGTGATATTTGGACGGAGAGGTCATCGCTCTTGTAGCCATACTTGAGCTGCATCACCATCGCTGAGGTTCAACGGCCTCACCGTACAAGACTATACTCAGACCAAGAGCACACCGATTGATCTCAGCTCCTGTATTGTGTAATGTTCACAAATTGTGCAGGCTAAAGTCAACATTTGGACAAATAGCACAAACAGCTGGTGGGTGAAATGTTCAGACGATAGCTGACTGATTCCAAAGTGCCCATCTGATCTGGCCAATACACACACACACACACACACACACACACACACACACACACACACACACACACACACTGCTTGTTTTTGTCCTAACAAGTTATGTAGAATAATAAGATCCAATGACTGTGATAGTTTGACTCATTTGCATTAAGCAGCAGCACCAACAGAACGTCACTGTGACCTGATCATGATCATGAGACATTTGGAAACAACTTTCATCTCTCAGACTGAAACATGACGAGCGACGCACAGACAGGAAGGATATTGATGAGGTGAGGTCTGTTTCTCAGATGTGGGACTTTATATCACCTCTTTAACAGGATGAAACAGTCATAGGCAGCAGGACAGCTCACTGACAGTCTATTAGCTGTGTGTGCGTGTGGGTGTGTGTGGGTGGTATTGGTGACACAAGTTAATGTGTGGTTATATTTGAACGACTGAGGAATGTGTTGACTGTTGACCTTGGCCAAATGGAAGCCATTATCTCGCCCTGCTGAGGCCCCCTCCTCTACTGAGCTGATAAATTAATGAGAGAAAACAGCACTTACATCAATACTAGTGT